AACCATTTTTCAGCACTTGCAGGTCAGTCTAGAGTTTCCACACTCCACTGCTATCAGGAGATACCAGATGCCTGCTAGTAAAATGTGTCTTTTGTTTCTTTCCTATTTGACATGGGTAATTGCAGGGAATCTTCCTGAGGTGCAATGACCTCAACTGTGATTCAAGGCAGAGTTGGTTTAATTTCCCATAATGCTTTAAATACGTCATGCCTTAAGTTTAGCAAGCAAAGGAAAAGAAGTCACAGCATGCTGCTGGGAACTGATGTCACAAAGTTGGGAAGTGTCTAATATGTAATTCCACATATTTGTGCTGCAGTAGCCTATATCACTGCTATCTTTTCCACAAGACAACTGTCTTGCCTTTGCTGAACATGGCTTTGGAAGCAAGGCAAGGGTTAAAGATGTAAAAGTACTCTGTAACAGCCTGAATCAATTCTATTATGCATAATTCAGGTGTGTCCTTGTGAGCACATGAGTAAATATGAGTATATACAGGTAAGTACGTAATGGCACACCTTCTTTTTTAGCACAGAGATAAGATGTTCTAGAAAACAGAGAATAAGGAAACAGAAATGCATTATTTATGGGAAAAAATGTGTGCATGCATACACACCCTTAGGTGCTCCTGCACTTCTGCCCTCTCCAGCTGCTGACTGTGGCTCTCTCTACACCAGCACAGCGTAATAAAAGTCCTCAGAGCTCTCGCTTTGCCACATCACCAAATCAGCTTCCGGCTCCCCAGCTTCACTGGAGTGATGGTGCTCAAGGTAATTTTTAGCCTTATTTCCCTTTACAAATAACTGCTGTGTAGCTACAGTGTCGTGCTGCACATGAGCACATCTGCAAGTCCACCATGCCTAATGACTTCTAAGTTTGATTTTAATCAAAATTGGCAGTTGGATGGCATCATAAATATCCAAACTGAGTGCTGAAGCAAGCCACTACGATGGCGCTGAGTGAAAGTTGATTGAAGGAGGTTTGCAGTCAGGCAGCAAATTATGAGGAGGAGGAGGAGGACAGGCGCCAGAGAGGGCGATTGCAGGCAGTTCAGTGATGGGATTCAGTAGGTCAGGTTGATGGTTGGATTTAAAACACAGGCACCTTCCTGTGTGCTTCCATGTTTCCCCAGGGCAGGGCAGAGCAGAGCATGCCCGGGTGCACCTCTAGGACAGCAGCATGGAGCCCTGGCGCTGCGACCCCACTCCTCACTGCTGCAGCTGTGTGGGCTGCAGAGCTGCTCTGCTGCAGGGCTGGGAGGAGGCTGGGAAGAGTTGAGCTGAGCTGTGGGACAGGCATCAGGCGAGGCAGGCAGACAGCAAAGGGACAAGATGCAGAGGTGTGAAAAGCAACATCCAGCTGTCCTTTGCGGGAAGCCCAAAAGAGTCAAACCAAGACCTGTCTTGTCACTCATCGTTCATTAATAGCAGTCTACTGCATTATTAACCTGGATAGTTCCTTTATCCGGGATGTTTGTAGAATCAGGCACCATGACTGAGTCTGGTGCAACCAAAATACATTTAACAGGGCTCGTGAAAGCCTGGCTGCAAATCCAGCCCGGGTTAGGTAGGTGTTGCACAGCTCCTTGTCAAGCTTGTCTTCTGTTTTGGATGGCTGCTGCTGCAGTACTTCCTATAGCATACAGCTCCAATTGCATGTTACAGCAGTCCAAATATAAATTCATTACAAGAATACTTGTCATTTTCACTAGTGTATTTCTTGTTTATCCACTACATTAGCTCCTGTGGCTGAGAGCAGAGAGCATTGTCCAGAGGTGCCAGGGCCTGACCACGCCATTGAGTGGCTTATTTTCTGGAGCATAAAATGGGATGTGGTTTGGTGCTACTGTTGACTTCATTTTGCCACGCATTTTTCACAAAGGAGAAATGTTGCATTAGCATCCGGATCCTCAAAAATAAGCTGTTTGCAGTGCTTACAGTACTGCTCTGATCCATCAGTATGGATGTAGATGTCTGTAGTGCAAAGACAGTAATAAAAAAAAAGACAGGAATCAACTGAGAATGTTGCTGTCTCAGCACAACTGACTGCAAACAACAAAGTTCACTCTTCACCTTTTAAGAGAAACAGAAACCAAAAGCTGCAGGAAAGACTGGAGAAACAGAACGGCTTTCATTGTGATGACAATGCTCTTCTGTCTGATGCCATGTGAGGTGGCTGCCCCTGGGTGTTTGTGAGTACATACCCAAGGATTTGGACATACATCACTCTTGTGGGACCATGGGAAAAGCAAGGCCAGCATCACCTCTGAGCTGCTAAGGAACCGCAGGAAAGCTGCAAATCCCCTGGGCAAATCTGACCTCCTTGGCCAGTTGTTCCTTGCCACAGAGGTATCCCAGGGAAGCGGGACCAAGAGCAGCTTGGGTGTGAAGCCACAGCCACTTCTGACCAGCTGTGGTGATTCTGGTGAGCAGTCAAAGCAGAGGAAAAGGTTCAGCAATGGATGCTGTCCCCAGCCTGCCTCTCCCCGGCTCCTGTGCCTCTGATGTCCAGTGCATAGCCAGCTCCAGTGGGAATCCTAAAGATGAAGGTGACTGTGAAGGTGAAGATGAAGTGCTCTTTTTTTCCTTTCTAACTTTCTTTCTGGTGTGATGGGGGCATGTGCTCTGTACCCCTCATGGGTTGCAGGAACAGGGCAGCCCTCAGTCCTGGTGGGTCCCCAGCATTTGCTGAGGGTAAATTTGCAAGAGCACCAGGGGGAGCAGCAGGACAGGATTTAAAATCCTGCGAGTGAGGCAGAGCAGAATGTGAGAGCAGGTATGAAGGCAACAGATAACAAAGGAACTGAAGGTGCTGGGCAGAGCGGTGACAACACTGGTGACGGGATCAAGGCCACGCTGCTGATAAGGCCGCTGTGCAGAAGTGGAGCAAGACTGACAGGATGCAGTATGGCTCAGCCACCCATTCCCCACAAGATGGAAGGTCTGCAAGCTGCACTGTGGTCCCCCAGGAAGTGCAAGTGTGATATGAGTCACAGGACCACGACTGATGCCTGCGACAAAGCTGGGGACAGCAGGAGGGGATTGCACAGAAATACCTGCAACGTGGAGGAGGAGGCTTAAATGCATGATTGTCTCTGTAGATGGAGCTGTGCAGCCAGTGCTGGGCTGTGCAACCAATGGGAACCTCCTGGCCACCTAAGGAAGGACTTCCCCTCTCTAACTCGAGGGGATGGTTGCTGGGACTTTTGTCAGAGGCTTCAAGCCTGCACTTGAAAGCAAAATTGAAAGAGGAGTGAGAGGCCTCTGAGAGGTGGTTTCCTCTGAGAGCCTGTGATGGTGGTTTCCCCTTTGTCACACCGCTAGGTGTCATTTAGCTCACTCTGTGAAGATCACAGCATCTGAACACTGCTGAGAAACTGGGTGCAGAAAGATCAAGCCTCATGTTGGCCAATGGCGCTGCAGAACCTGCTGCTGCTGGCACAGAAGGGATGTGGACGCCTATGCCATGAGGAGGGTGAGGCAGAGACAGCAGCACATCTGAGCTGCACGGTTCCTGCACTGCTCATGGTGCAACTCCAGGAACCAGGCCAAGCTCGGGACAGGCAACGCAGCGCACAGGCAGGGAGGCTGACAGAGGCCTTGGGGTCAAAGTCTAGCCGTTTTTTTGCCACTGAACACCTTGGAGAAGACCATGAAGGCCCCTGACAGCTCTTCTGCAGGGCTTTGCCGGGTGGGAGCAGCTCGTAGGACACTGAGTCGTCCTCTAGTTGAGAGCTGGTTGGGAACAGGTTGCCCAGCCGGGGTGTAAGGAGATTAATCATCACGTGCCAGAATGTGAGAGCTTCTGGCTTCATGAGACCATGTGTGCTGGCGGAAGGATGCCCTGGGGCCTCGCACACGTCAGGGCTGTCTCCACTGCTTGTCACAATGCCCATTGCTTTGTGCATGACCCATCGAGGATGGAGATTCCCCGTCTTCCTGCTGGTCAGGTTGCTCACCCTCCTGCGGAAGGCTGGTTCCTGACACCCTGCGTGAACTTCTCTGCTCAGGACTTTGTGCCTGTGGCTTTCACTGTGCCATCTCCAGCAACCAAGAGGACCTTGGTTCCACCAACTTAGTTCCTTAGTCTCCTTCCTTTAGTTGTAGGCTGCTGGCAGATCTCCCTTTACCAGACTAAGCCACCCCACCAGCACTCCTGTTCCTTGGGAACAACTGCTAGTGCAGTTAAATATTTACTTTACCTGTAGGATTTTCAAAGCAGAATAATAGTAAGCGTCAAACGTTACTGAACTGTGTCAACAGGGAATGTAATCCATGTACACAGCCATCTAAGCAGAGCAGAGGTGTGTTCTGAAAGGGGAATCCCAAAGCTCCTGCCAGTCCATGCTCAGCCATGCCTGTCTGACCACGAGGGCTTGCTGAGATACTCCTGCTCATCTCTGCTGTCCAGGGCTGGCAAGAACCACGCTAAGACTCAGGTAAGACTGTGGGGAAGAAAGGTCCTGAATGTGATGTGTCTGTCTTTTCAGCAAGTGCCCATGTGTACGCTGCACGTGTCTGCAGATCTTCCAGGCAGTTTTCTGTAGGTTTGTGTTGGCCCTTTGCACAAAGAGTACCTCCTACCCACTACCAAGGTGAAGGAGACGCCCTCTCCCTTCTGGCCTAGACTTAATCTTGCCATATCTGTCCCAAAGGAGTTCTAGTCAAAACTACTTTTCAGCTATGATGCTGACTTTCTGTCCAGCGATTCTCTTTTCCATCCTTCACCCTTCAGCCTTTGATCTTGATTCCATCAAGGAAAGTGTTGGTGGATGTGGTAAATTGTTTTCTAAGGGGCAGCAAGGATGCTCACATGGAAAGACTGATGTTGGACATTTTTCTCAAAGGTGAAAAAGCAAGGTCTTGTGGAATGGAGGTCCTTGCTGAAAAGTCCCCCAGTGGCACAGCCTCCCAGATCAGCCCCAACTTTTGCATTTTGCACATGAAGTATCCCAATCTAAAATAGAGATCCACATGATGTAGGAATCACAGAACCATAGAATATCCCAAGCTTGTAAGAGACCTGCAAGGATCATGGAGTCCAACTCCTGGCTTCACGCAGGACCACCCAAAGCCCAAACCCTGTGTCTGGGGGCATTGCCCAAACTCTCCTTGAGCCCCAGCAGCGCTGCCCTCTAAGGCACAGCCTTTATCTCACCCCCACCTGACCTCTTCTGATGCAGCTCTGTGCTGTTCCCTTGTGTTCTGTCACTGTCACCACGAAATGAGGAATGGCAGCTATGAAGCTGGAGGGTCGTCTTGGGGGTAATGTGCACAGTGGGAGGCTGGCTGGTTTGGAGAGGAGAGCAGCATTACTCAGCCTGCGCTGTGGGCCAAAGGGATTTTATAGCAGCCTCTATTGCCTGCACCTGGAGTTGGCAGGCTGTCATTCACCTCTGGGTGCACAGGCTGTCTGTTCCCAACGCACGTCAAAGTGCTCAAAATGCTGCTTTTCCCAGCGCCAAGATTAGCTGCTGCCTTCTGCTATAAAGGCTGCTGTGAGCGGAGTGAGGTGCACGAATGCATGCACCCATGCCAGCCATGCCCACAAAGGAGCTGCTGGTGCTGGCGCTGATGCTGGTAGCCTTTGTTTCTGCCAGTGGTAAGTCTGCTCTGCGGTGGTGGGCTGGGAGGTGTGGAGGGACTGAGAGTGCAAAGGGGGGCAGAAAGACACAGGATCTCTGTTATGTGGAGAAGAGGTGAGGGAGGCAAGGCAGCACAGCAGCAGCACAGTGGGGTGCAGAGAAGGACAGGAGCACACACATCCCACACTTCCTGGGGTGTGCCAGTGATGCATTTGATGCTCAGTGGAGCTCCTGGTTCAGAGTCCAGGAGACAGGGCTATGGGAAGGGGCTCAGAGACAGGTACAGGCATTCCCACCTCTGTCCCTCTGTCACTACCTCACGCTCCTGCCACCAGCTCTCTCTGGAAAGGCAGTTGTCACTTAATTCCCCCCCTGCTGAACTCTTGGATCTCTGCTCTGTTTCAGGGGCAGAGCTGGAAGAGGAGAACGGCCTGAGAAGGGTAAGAGATTTCCATTTGCTCTTGTTAGTGGCTTCAGATCCTATTGGGCTGCCTCAATGCCTGGCGTGACTGGGGGAAAGGCTATTCCCAGAAACTGCCCCAGCTTTGTGGGTCTCAGCAGTCTCAGCCCAGTACTGACCCCGGGCAGCGAGTCCCACCTTGAGGCACGCTGCCTCCCCCTGCTCTGTGAGCCTGCCCTAAGGGGCACTGGGATCCCCAGAGCTGCTGTGCAGCCAGCTCCAGCCACGCTTGCTGCTGCCCTAGCGCCGTGGGAGGAGGGTGGGAGCTGCCTGCTCTGAAGCACTCACTGCGGTTTCTCCTTTCCAGCCGAGGTGTGGAGAGATGGCTGAGCTGCAGGCCTGCCCCCTGCTGCACTTGCCCATCTGTGGGAGCGATGGGAACACCTATGCCAATGAGTGCTTGCTCTGTGTGCAGAAAATGTAAGCTCACACCTGGGCACTGGCCTCCAGGGGTCTAATTTTAGCTGTCTAAATGCAGGTGCTTGTCAAACACCGTGGGAAAACCACAGCCCACGGGAAGGACACAAGATCCTAACTGCGAGGTGGAGGAAGGCTTTTGGCATCCTCTGAACCTGGCTCTGCAGCCCTCAGCTTCACCTCCCCATGATGGTAGTGCCCAAGAACAGGCATGCGAATGCCCCTAGCCTTTGCAGGTGCCAGCCCCTTCCTTGGCACTGTGTTTAGGGACAGTGCAGCTGCAAACTTAGTATTCACTCACTGTGTTGGCAGAGTACTGATCCCACAGGAGAGAGCGATATTTATCCATCGGAGCAGCTTGCTGGATCATGCACTATAGGGTGGTACACCCCCCAAAATGTGGGGTCAAGAGTCACAGCCAGACGACCTTCCAACATAAGAAAAAACTGGCAACAAACCAGGTGCTCTGCAGAGGGTGAGAGAAGGTCCCCAGTCTGTACTGCCTGTGAATGAATAATCACAGAACCATAGAGGAGTTTGGGTTGGTAGGGACCTTAAAGATCATCCAGTTCTAACCACCTGCCTAGGTCAGGGATGTCTGCATCTAGACAAGGTTGCTCAAAGCCCCTGGTCTTAAATACCTCAGGGAATGGGGCATCCACAGCTACTCTGCGCAGCTGCTCCAGTGCCTCACGTCCCTCTGAGTGAAAAATTAATTCCTAACATCTAACCTAAATCTCCCCTCTTATAGTTTAAAACCTTCACCCCTTGTCTTGGTCACAATAGTGTGACCCGATGAAGTCTCTCTACAGGCCTCCTTTATGTACTGGAAGACCACTGTAAAGTCTTCCAGAGCCTACTGCAGGCTGAACAAGCCCAGTTCTCCCAGTATCTTCATAAGATGGGTACTCCAGCCCTCTGATCCTAGTTGTAGCCCTCCTCTGGACCCAGTCTAATGTGCCCATGTTTTTCTCAAGCCGGAGAAGGAAGATTTGGATGCAGATGTTTAGAAAGGTGCACTAGGTGGATAGCCTGGACAGGCACATAGCACCAGTAAATCCTCCCAAGAGAGCTCTGTCAGTGCAGATGCCCAGTTATGCGCATCATGGTTCCTTTGGTCCACAAAGGAACCACCATAAGTCTGAGGAGTAGGGCAACAGGGGCATCACGATGTTCAGAAGGGAAAAGCAGAGGGTTGCTTTGGGACAGGACCACCCTGTAATTCTGTGCAGGCTGGGAAATGATGGGCTGAGCGAAGATCAGGCTGAATGCAGATCAACAGGTGCTTGCATTTCCAAGAACACAGGCTGCAGGGAGGGACAACCAGATTGCACAGGAAGATGCTGCCACTGCTGCAGGGTGCTGGGCACTGAGGCTGCTGCATGCCATTGGGATATCGGTCTCCTGGGACCTGGGGAAACTGCAGAGGGTCTGCAAATGGCCACAGGCCTGGACCTGTGAGGAGCTGTGGAGGAGCTACGTCCAAATTCTGGTGGCTCTTGGAGTGGGAGGTCAAGGGGATCCAGTGCAGCCTATGGCCACAAAGGGAACGCACGGAGTCATGTTGCAGCTGCTGATACTACACAGGGCAACAGCCACAAAGTCCCAGAAAGGTTCAGATGAGACACAGGGGACAGGTGAACAGGGAGGGAGGGGTCTTCATCCTCGGGGGTGGAGAGGGCTTGGGCAAAGCTTCAGTGCTCACACTGCAAACCAGCTGGGATGAAATCGTCTCTAGCAATGGTGGGACCTGCACCATACGCAGGGAAGAGACCTCTGCAGGCAGCTGCATCTCTTTTCAATGGGACAGTGAGCAAGCAGTTTCAGAAAGGTCAGCTCCGTTCCATGGGCCAGATGTGGCCAAGGGTGAGTCAGGGAACACTTTTTTTTTTTTTTTTCCCTAGTTCTTTACTCTGTTTTTCTACATTATCCTAGGAAAACCAGGCAAGATATCCGGATTTTGAATGACGGGGAGTGTCAAGATATCTGAGCCTCCTGGTGGCCTTCCTGAGCCCGCAAATAGGTGATTAATTGGTGCTGTATGCTCTGCGTGCATCAGACATTTCAATCAGTGACAGTAAATAATAAAATTGCATACACAATCTTATTTCAACAGCATTATTTTGTGCCGGGCTGAGGGAAAACAGCACAAGCCTGTTTCCATGAAGAACTACTAAAAAAGTGCAGTCAAAACATTCATTTCCAATCTATATCACAAACTAGGCCCTGCACATTGTGCACTGTACATTTCTCTCGTGTTCCTGGGAGCAATGTGGGAGCAGTAAGAAACACACATAACAGAGATCCTGGTGAAGGAGGTGCTGTACAAACACAGCTTTTCTGAAGGAGGCAATTTAGCAAAGGTACAGTTTCTCCAATGCGGGAGCTGATGGCCTTCTCTTCAGCTCCCTAGAAACCACCTTCACATCCAGAGCTGGTGCTAGTGGAAAACAGCAACATCACGCTTCTTGTATCATTCAGCTTTTCATGTGAGACTGCCCCATAAAGAAATCAGCCCAGATAAGCCACAGGAGCACTAGAAGTACAGAGTGGAGATCCTGAATTCCAGAGAGCCTGAATCTCTGGGGGAGTTTTCTCAAAACAGACCTGATCTCCCTAGGTGCTCTTGGGGAACAGAATTTGCCTCCAAGTTGCTCAGCATCATGCCTAGATTGCTTCCTAGATTGCTTGGGCAACTCTTGGTGCTACAGTGGGGTTTGGTCCAAGCTGGCTAATGGTCAGCATGCATCAGCTGTCTGTGGGCTCCCTCTGATCTTTTTTTTGGTCTTTTTTCCCGTAGCAGCTGGGACGTGAATCACCTTTCACTAAATATCACAGAATCACAGAATGGCCAGGGCTGGAAGGGGCCTCAGGGATGATGAAGCTCCAACCCACCCACCACATGCAGGGCCACCAACCTCCCCATTTCACAGCAGCCCAGGCTGCCCAGGGCCCCATCCAACCTGGCCTTGAACACCTCCAGGGTTGGACGCGGCATCACAGCCTCTCTGGGCAGCTGTTCCAGCACCTCACCACTCTCACAGCACACAACTTCCCCCTGACACCCAACCTCCATCTGCCCTCCCTCCACTTCAAACCATTTCCCCTTGTCCTGCTGTTATCTCCCCTTTCCAAGAGCTGACTCCCCTCCTGTCTGTAGGCTCCCTTTAGGTACTGCAGGCTGCACTGAGGTCACCCTGCAGCCTTCTCTTCTCCATGCTGAACAAGCCCAGCTCCCTCAGCCTGTCTTCGTTGTGGAGGTGCTGCAGCCCCTGATCATCTTTGTGGCTCCTCTGACCCTCTCCAACAGCTCTGCCTTTCTTGTACTGGAAGCTCCTGTACCAGGACTGTAGATGGGGCCTCACAAGAGCAGAGTAGAGGGGGACAATCACTTCTCTGTCCCTGCTGGCCACCTCTCTGCTGATGGAATATGTGCACCCAAATTGTACAGCTTGAGTATGCAAGGGGTCTCTTCGCTCGCAGTGGCAGAGATCTGGCTAATGCAAGGTTTTCCACCCAAAGTCCATTCAGTTCTGCTCTGTCATGTCCCTAGAGAATGACTGATTATGATTTCTGATCAGCTTCAGCAAAGCTTCATGTTGCTTGGAGAAGTGCTCTGCTGTTAAGTGAAACCTGTGCTCACCCGCAAGGCATCAAGCTGCTCTGTCCTGCTGCTGCACTCACATGACTTATTTGTAGTACCTGGGGGAAGGGTCTGATTGCATCATAAAGTCAAGTGAGCTCCCTGAAGTCGGTCACCACAGTGTCAGTCTGGGACCTGTGCCGGTGTCGTGGCCACTGTACCTGCCTGGTTGGTTACATGGTTCTTCCCCCACATCCAGATCCGCAGCCGTTGGTGATAGATTTAATGCTACCACTGAAAATAATAATGAGAAGTATAAAACAATCATACTTGGTCAGTCATGGAGATCCTTTTGACTTGGGGTCTCCAGAACCAAGACAGAGGGCAGTGAGCAAGAGCAAACACCTGTAGGAGAATGCAACAAGGCGTAATTGGGCAGGGACAGAGCCTTGGCATTGCAATCATTGTTTCGTCTGGAGGCAGCTGTTGTCATTAGAAGTTTTCCTGTCCCCAGCCTTGTTACTGTCTGAAACCTACCAGCTATCAGTGACTATTACAAGGACAGAACAGTGGCTGTGAAAGCAGGAACTGTCTCTGCCTGGATTCATCTCCTTACTGCCAACCTTCAGTGCCTGGTTGTGAATTCTGGAGAGGCAGACTGCCATTGTTTCCCTGACACTGCCTTTTCATGGGCTTTGCACCCAGCCTGGTTAGTTGCTCACAGCTGTCCAGAGGGCTTAACACCTCTGCTGCCCTGCTCTGCGCCCTCTCCACTTCTGCAGGGGTGAGGGCCACAACTGCATGTAGCTTGGTCAGCAATTCCGTTGCTGCACCACTCACCCACTGCCTGCTTCTGCAGCTCTGCAGGTCCCTACCTATCCCCTAGGGCTCTCCTGAACAACCAGCAGCATATTTTCCCCTTTCAGCCCTTAAAAGGAGTAGGAGACGTTAGGGTCTGGTCTGCACTGCCAGAGAGCATGGGGAGATGCAGGTGGAGTGCACTGCACCTTGGGAATAGGCTTGACCAAGCTTTCAGCTCCAACTTGCCCCAAATCAGATCACCATTCTGCAGGACAAAACTGGAAGCTGTTCCCTGACTGCTGCTAGAGTGACAGCTGCATGGCTGCCCATGCTGATCTTCTGGATAACTTTGGGTCTGGGCTGTGTCTGTGGCTGTAGGAGGGAGAGGCATTCTCTGGCTGCTGCCTCGCAGTAGCAATGCCAGATGGGGGGAAAACAGAGGTGAGGCTCACAATGCACTCTAGTAAGTCTCCTTCAGATCCCATTAAGGAAGTTGTGTGTGGGTGAAGGCAGCCCAGGGCCAAAGGAAACAAGATAGGAATGTGGGGAAGCAGTGCCTGGCATGCTTGATGCATCCAGCTGCACTGGTTCATTCATCTGAAACTGACCAGAAAATTCAACCTGCAGCAGAAAGGACAAACCTTGGGCTACATCTGCTGCAGAGTTCTTCTGTGCTGCAGCACTGGCAGGGGACAGGAGGGCACTACAGGCTCTGAAAAGGCCTCTGCTATGCCACTCTCACTCCCAAGCAGAGATAGCTCAAGACTGGGTCTGTGATTTCCACACTGTTATCCACCGCCAAACCTTCCCACAGGATCACAAGTTCACTTGCTTGGGATTTGCAGCAATTCATGCACAAGAACAAAACCTTCACAGGGATCTAGGTCCTGAGAGATGCAAGCGCAGGCTCAGTAAGATGTTAAACCCCATTTATCCTATTTAGTACCTCTTATAGACCCTGAGAGCACAGCAGCTCTTTCACTTATGAACAATATTTATAAATTCATTGCATTCTTAACTGGAAAATGGGTGGAACAGTGTGTCCAAAAAAGGGCAATTTTTTGCTGAGTCAGGAGAGATTTATCAGACCTCAGCAGGCTCTGGAGTGTCTGAGTGCTTCTGCTTCTCCTCCCCAGGAGACATGTGGGTGAAAAGCTGAGTTTTGCACCGCCCAGGCAGTCAGAGCTGTAGCATTAAGGCTGGCAGACCCCTGTGCCTCTGCAGCCAAGAGCATCCCTGTGTGGGTGTCAACCCATAGCGTGCCCTGGGCAGCTTGCTCTGGTTGTTCTGCATGCAGCTGGAGCTCTCAGCACCCTGCAACACCCAGAGGTGCCCATCCTTTCTCCCACATTTCATATCAGCTGCCAACAGCCCAGAGATCCCAGAACAGTTCTTTCCAAGCACTTCCAGACGTGATGTCCACAGTGACCAGGCGTGTGTTTTCCTCTCCCCCACACACGTTAATTTCAGGATGCACAAGGCAGGGTGACTTGGGGTTGAGCAGCATCACACAGCCTCACCAGCAGAGCACACCTGGCCTTCACTTTTGACTGAGGTACAAGAAACTCACACAAGTGACTCAGAAGCACCCCATCTCAGGATGCCACTCACACTCCTCGCCAGCCCTCGCATATCAGAGCCTTCCCATATCTGCTGTGCTGCCAACACCCTGCTGGTTCTTTTGGGACTTTTAAACTTGCCCCACCCCTCCAGAGGTACCACATAATCTGCAAAGGACAGAGGGGAGAAGCCCCAAGGGGAAGTGGTAACCGGGGGGACAAGCAGGAAGGCAGCAGAGATCACCACGTCCCCCCAGGAGACCCCCCAGGCATGAAATTTGTAACTTGGCCTGGAGTCGTCAGGAACCTACAGAAAGACTGCTGAGAGCAAAGGCTATGGGCACCCCCAGGAGCTGTTCTGCTACAGGGCAAGTCAGTTGAGTTCACCCATGCCTTGGCAGGTGAGCAATTCCCAGAGAGCTTGGGAGTAGACGCATTGTAGAGCTCTTCTACCATTGCTTCATCCACTTGGAATTGACTGGATTTGGCTACTTCTGTCCCTGGGGGTCTCCTAAATGTGCCATGATCTCGAGCCGCAAGCAGCCTGCTGTGAGGGGTGGAGGTCCCTTCCTACGAGCACTGCGACAGACCTGTGCAAAGACCTTTCTGACAGCTTGCATCCCATTCCAGATCCCAGAACAGGTCTTGGGTGCCTAATGACTCCTCCATGCATCTCATTCTGGAAACGACGGCGAGGCCATGCAGCATCCGGCTGGGCCACGCAGCTCCTCTCCGCTCTAAAGAAGGGCATCTGAGCTACAGTTTGGCAGCAGCGAGCACGGGTTTCCTATCTGAAGCGGAACTGTTGTACAGAAACATCAGCATGTTTTGCAGTCCACACAGTAGGTGGACTGGAGGGCAGACACTCATACACCTTTAAACTGTGATAAGGAGCATATTATTACCCCGCTGGTGGCCTAGTCAGATAAGTTGTTTGTGGAGGACAGTCTGCGTTTCTTTCAAGCTCTCATTCTGCTGAACCAGTAAGAGATTACATTCCCAAGGAAATCAGCCGCTTCTTATTTGAAACTGCAAAGAGCGATGGATAGCTTAGGGAGAGACCACGATTATTCCGACACTTCTCTGCCTTCCTCCACAGCCCACGAGGAGAACGCTGAGCCAGGTAACGCTGCGCTTCTAACTTTTATTGGAAGGAAGAACGGTCTTTTTTGTCACTAATGCTTTCTAGGAAGGGGTTACCAGCGTGTGGTTAGGGGATGGGGGATGCGTGTTTGATAGTAAATGCATACGGCTTTTTCCAAGCCGTGTTTCAGATCACAGAGGCACCTATAAAGATCTCTCCACTCAGTTTCTCGGGCAGTTCCAATGCACTGTCGCTTTGCAGACTGACAAAAGGCTCTCAGTGTACTTTTATTTGGAGGGATTTTTCATTTCATTTCATTTCTGTATGCTTGTGTTCTCTGCTATGTAATCTCTCACTGGATGCAGGTGTCTCAGAGAGATTCCTCCTGCTGACTGCAACAGGCAGCACAGCTTTGGAGCAGCCCCAGAGCGCTCTGTTGGTCCGGATAGAAATGAATGAGGGATGTTTTCTGGCTGCACAGAGCAATTTGCTTAGGATGGATTGGGGAGGAGACAGATTGCATGCAGCGAGAAGTGCTTTTATGGCTCAGGAGGTATTTTGAAAGTGAAAGAAAGTTAGCTCGGCTGCCACAGAGGGACACGTGAGGGATGTGCACTTCGGCAGTCAGCCTGCAGCGGCGTGCATGCAGATCCCACGGCTGCTGCTTGGAGCTCCATTTCCCCAGGCTGCCTCTGGTGGTCTCTGCTGCTGGCAGAGCCCTCCTGCCCTGATGCTGCTTCACACACTGCCCAGCACAGCTGCATGCTGTACGGACCGTGTGCGGTTCTGTCTCAGAGCCTGCCTGTCACTAATACCATCTCTGGCCGTGCCACTGCTGAGAAATCCTCACACTGCCTGTGCAGTGCCTTTTGCATCCGTGCTTCTCTTCTCTGGGGTCCAGGTAGGATGAAAGGTTTCAGGGAGGGGATCTGCCTTCTCCTGCATGTCTCCACTGGGGGCTCCTGGAACTAGTATGCAAAAAGCATCAGTAAAAGAGCAGGAGAAATGACAGACGACACCAGAAAGTAGGGCTGCTCTTGGATTCATGGTCGTTTGGTGGCGTGGCTGTTGTCATTATTAGATAGTATTGGGATCACTGTGCCCAGATTTAAACAAAGTGCCACACAGAGCCACCAAAGCTGAGGAAACAGAGCCGAGAGGGTAGGCACCTGCCTAGCAGGAGGCATGGAAAGGACGGTAGCACAGGGAGGGACAGGAGACGCCAGCTGGATAGAAAGGAAAAAATGACCGTAGTGAAAAGAGCACAGAGATCAGAGGTGTGCTGTGAGATCTTTCCCCACTTTCCTGGACAAGGTCCTGATTAACTTGAGGTAATACTGGCCCTGCCGCCAGGAGAACACTGGGACAGAGACCTACAGGGATTCATTCCAAGCAAAACTTCTCATGATTATTATTATCAGAAGAACAGATCTAATTTGAGTAGGGGTTGGCCACTACTCTTAGGGGTTTTTTTGTTTTGTTTTGTTTTGCTTTGCTTTGTTTTGTCTTTAAATCTGTCCTGGACTGTGGCTTTTCCCATGTTTAACTCAGACACCTGGGGTGCAGGAGCTGCAGTGCCCAGTTAGCCTCAAAAGTCCTTCTCACCTTGCCAGCTCTCCCAGCTGGACAAGAGAATGCCAAAATGACCACTCTTCACTCATTGGACTTAACACTTCAACATGAGCTGAGACTTTTCATAGGAGAAGCTGGATCTGATTGCATCCACAGGGAGCAGGTCTGTTTGGCTGCCTTTTACCCATTTGGCAGTTGTTGAAACTGTGAAAACTAGTGCTCGTGTGAATTCCTCAGTGCATGTGTGGGAAGCTCCCTCCGTGCTCCAGGCAAGTGCTACTCCCACCGGTACTTCTACCAGCAAAGGGGCACAGAAATATGCCCCTGCGTTAGCCAAAGGGAATGGTCTCATGCTATTTGATCTAAGACAGGTCCTAATAAAGACTCCACAGGCTGCAGCCCAAAGAAAAAAAATGGAGGGTTGAGAACTGTGGGCATTATTCACGTGAATACCAGCAAAGGGTGAGGAAATGCACGCAGCTTTCTCAGCCCCTCGAGGTGGGACCAGCTGAGTAGGCACAGGAAAGGCACTGTTGATCCATCTTTCTGCCCGTCTGGATGAACAGCGCTAGGCAAGTGCAGCTACCTGGGGAAAAGTGCATTAATGGAGCAAACTCACAGAAGTATTTTGCAGCCACTAATGAATGATGCGTGACCCTGAGTGATTGCAGGGTGTCCCCAGAGGACAGCCCACGTCCTGCGTTTTCAGCTGGCCCCTGTGGTGTGTCATTTGGACACAAGTCACCCAAAGGCTGCAGTGGCAGGAAGAAAACTGCAGCTCGGAATTCCTAAGAATTTACAGCACAGATTTGTGCGGCACGCCGTCAGATCCTCCCTGCCGATGCTGCTTAGTAAGTACAGTGCCTTACTTACTATTGTATAAAGACCTGCTTCATGATAAAAAGGCTCAGACCACTTTCATCAGCGCCCTATCAGCAGACGAGGAGGGAGGGCTACGGTCCCGTGGTCGAGAGGTGGTGTTAGCACTCGGTTTGTCCTTTAGGTTCCACCATGTTGCGCCGCTTGAGAGACCGGGAGCTGCTCCGGAAGAGAAAGGCAGAAGCCGAGGAGAAGGATTCAATTCAGTGGGCTCTGGGGTAAAACTTTCTTACGCCGTGCGATCCTTTCTCTGTGCACGTGGCCGGAGACCAGGCACAGGCACCGCATGACGACAGGGTGCCCCGTGCTCCCTGTGAGGAGAGGTCCTCGCTGGCGCGGGCGGCCCTCGGCCTCTATCTGCTAAAGGGCTGCTCTGGTGCTTGAGGAAAGAGCGTGTGGGGCTTTTGTAAGGGATGGGTTGGCGGTAGGAGAAAATTGGCAGCCAGACTCCCGCGTCCTTGCCTGGCCACCCATGCAGAGAATTCCAGTTTCTGCAGGGGTGAACTGGGTGCCACTTGCAGCCTGAGAGATTGGCACAGCTCTCTCGGCAAGAGGGCACGTGCCAGGCAAGGAGGGACCACGCTGCCCTTGACACCTAACCCTTTGCTACATGAAATCCCCCTGCAGGGAGCACGAGAGAAGCAAACGGCAGAGGAGAAGCCACGGTGCCAGGCGAGGAAAGGGCCGTGCGCATGTCATGGAGCCCGCACCACAGCCAAAACCACAGCCAAACCCTCAGCCCCCGAAGAAGGAGGAAGCTGAGATGGTGTCCTCCACGGCGATGCAGCAGGCCGAGTCTTCCCAGATAGACATGCAGGACCTGTTTGCTGGTGTGCAGCTGGCAGATCTGGAAGGGATACTGGCCTCGGGGAGCCAGAGTCCCCTGGGTGAGTCCTGGAAAGCTGCCATCCCCATGGGATCCTGAGGGCTGCAGGTTGGGGCTGCAGGGACAGATCCCTCTCTCTGAATTGTGGGGAGGAGTAGAAAGCCAGCTGCTGTGAGTAGAGTCATTGGCATGCTGGTCTGTGGCCGCTGGTCCCTTTTAGAGCTCCTTGTCCTAAAGATTTCTTTGCAGCCTTTTCTGCACAGGGAAGAGGTAGCTGTGTCCTGATGCACTTCCCCGGGGAGAACAGATAAGCATGAGAAACACTGCATAGAACAGCAAAAGTTGGTTCACAGACAAGTGTCTGCCTCGGGTCCTCTTCTGTCTGAAACTAAAGAAAGTGACCAGAGGGCCACAGCTGGGCAGCGGGACATGGGTTATTTGCCCACAATGGTGGGTCACCGTGCTCCCTGCCCCCCTGCCAAGAGCCAGTCCAGGGCACAGGTGCTCTGAAAAGAGGGGGCAAACTCCAGAGCAGGTCAGGGACCATCACACTGGTTCCAGGGTGATGGGGAGGGGAAGGGCAGCCGCAGGCACAGTGCGTGCAGGAGACCTGCCCTGCTGGGGCTGGTGGCAGCAAGAGTCCTTACAGCACAGCACGGGGCTTCTGATGCTCTTGTGCCACCACCGTCCTACACCAGGTCCAGTCCCCAGTCCTGAGACTCTGAAACGGCAAGAACAAGGGCTGGACTTATTTGCCTTCTGCCATTAAACCCATTAAGCCCCACAACCTAAGGGACCAGCATGTCCTCTGGAAGTCATGCGGGCCAGCAGGAGGTGCTTCTCATCACATGCACCCCATGGCCCAGCTAACAGAGCCCCCGGCAGCAATGACCTCTCTGGTGTCCTTTGTAGGTGAAGAGGATATGCTGAAGCTGGCAGATGAAATACAAGAGGTACTGAATACTTCGCTAGAAAGGAACGAATCAGATAATGACATGTATTCATCAAGCCTATTTTGAAGTTTTATTTAAATATATATATATATATTCTTCCAGTTTTTATGACTAAGAAATACTGAAAACCCTTGCGGAGAGACTTAAAGTTGCTCCTTCTTCAGGAACAATAAAAATCTGACTCTCTCTCCATCATGCTTCCTGTGTTGCTTCCAGGCTGTTTGTGGGGGGAGGGGGAAGGATGCTGCTCCTTCAGCCCCGCGGGAGCTGTGAGCCTGTGAGCCCCATGCCCATCCTCACTCCCAAAACATTCCCCCAGTGTGTTCAGCAGAACATCAGCCCCTTCACAAAGCTGAACCCCATCCTTCAGCGGGCAGGCGTGCAGCGGATTGGGCTTTTTTCAGCACAACGTGAAGCCTACAGTCCCTCATGCTGTTATCTGCAGCCTGAAGGCCTTTCTCATAATCTGCCTTCCTTTCCCAGTTATCAGTTTGCTCTCCTCAAGTCTGGGAAGTCTGTTGTTTTTGTCTTGCCAGTAACTTCACTCTGACCTTGCTGAGCTGCGTTGGGCAGATGGAGGCTGGCTGAAAACAGTTGAACGTAGCAGGCTGAAAGACAGCTGAACTGCACGCTTTAGTCAGGAAAATTCAATCTGGGGCAAAAACATGAGGCCACTCTGGACAGGTGCGGTTCTCCCCTCTCCACAGCCAGCTTTCAGGCCAAGACTTTAAAGAAGCAGGAGCCTATACAGCGCATTCATATTTTTGTGTGTGTGAAATTTGGGAAGAATGAGGGTTTCCTCTCTTTCTTCGCACATTTTGGGGTTTGCAATGTCTTCATGGCCACCATCTGACCACTATCAGAGAGCTGTCTCCCAAGAGCACAGGGCTGGCCCACTACTGAAGTCACTCTTCATTTTGGGCTTCCAGCAGCAGAATAACCAGTGAGATCACTCCAGAGACATCCAGAGACATCCGTGATGCTGTGCTGTGCATCTCAGTGGATGTGACATCTCACCAGCATTTATATCACTGACACCCATCCCCCCTTTGGTCCCTGAGCTTTGCATGAGAGATAATTAGTGCTCATGAGCACAGCCTGCAGCCTTCTCTCCGCCCTCTGAGACCCTCTGCAGTTACAGCACCAGCAGCAACAAAACATCCCCTGGGTGCCAAATGAGAAACTCACAGATGAGTACTATCACAGGAGCTGTGCCAGAGTACTCTTGCAAGCATTGCATCCACACTACGTTGCAAGGAAGCTGCGCTGTAGGGCCTGGAGACACTCCTGTCTGCAGAGCCCCATACCGTGGCAAGCAATGGCTGGCAGCTGTCTCCATCTCCCCAGCCCTTCTCAGAACTCCCAGGGAAGTAAATCTACCCTGACATCCACCTTCACATCCCCAGAGGCTTATGCTCACCCACTTCCCACCACTTTTTAGTTGCTGGGGAGAAGCAGCTTCTAGGAAGTTTCACATTCAAATCACTGCACCCCTCTGACAAGAGCACACAAAGCAACCATGTGTGTCCTGTCCCTGTGCTGTTGAAGCTGAGCCATGGGAAGTGGTGAAAGCTTGGCAGGGTTTCTATAAGCACAGGGGAGTAATCCTTGCTGAAGCATGGGGTGGGCAGAGGTGCCACACTGCGTGGCTATGCCTGCAGAGCATGGTGGGAAGGGGCTTGCAGGAAGCAAGATAGCCCATAGAAAGTAGCCCCATCCCCTAGTCATTTGAGCTTGGTTGCCTCGGGGTGCTGGAGTCACCTCAGTGACTGTGCACCCGCACCAGAGCTCTCACTCCAGCTGGCTCCTTTGGCAGCCTGTGAGAAAGGCTTTTCTGCAGGTAGTAAATTTTATTGCATAACAACCCAAAGATAGAGCACTCTTTATCAGCACTTTCACTTGCACAACACACCTTTTTTTCCTCTCACGTGAGGACAGGTAATAGAGCTCCCTGCTTGTGCAGAATTCCCATGGGCTTAGGAGCAAAGCTGGCCACTGTGGTCCATGGGCACCTCCCAGATGGGTCCTCTGCCAGCACCCCGAGCTTTTTCCTCCTGCTGCGCTTCCCCTGCCCATCCCCATGGGTCTGCAGGGTCCCACTGATTTTCCCTACCCTGGTTCAAAATCTCACCAGCTGCAAAGCCCAGTTTGGTCTTTCTGCCACTTTTATCATTTGTTTGTGTTCCTGCGTTCTTATTTATAGTTTCCTCCCCCACAAATCCCTTGTGGCACTGGAGAAGGACCTGTACCAGATGTACTCAGAGGAGGAGACGCCCTCCTTCCACTGACTGTTGCAAGCAACAGGAAAGAAAACAGTGAATCCTGACAGCAAACTCCTGAGCTGGTTTCGCAGGAGCAAAGTTTGCTCTGGGGTGGAGACAAACATTTCTTGAGGGCTGCTCCCAAGCAGTATCTCATCTGGTGGCGTCTGCCTGGCACTGACAATGCAAGATCTTTTTTTACAGTTTACAGTTAGCTATGGCCTGGATGTACGGGATGGAAAAGGAAGACTTTGCTACCTACTAGGGAGGAAGAAAGTTTTGCTACAGGTTTTGGTCATAAGTCATGACCATAAACCTAATGGTATTTATCTCTGGTTATCTCTGGTTGAGCCCAACAATCAGCCTATCCACATCCCTCTGCAGGGCCTTGCTGCCCCAGACAGATCAATACTTCCTTGATGTCTGCAAACTTACTGAGAGTGCACTCAACATCCCCATCAAGGTTATCACTACAGACATTGAGCAGGGCAGGCCCCAGCTCCGTGCCCTGGGGAACACCACTGCTGACAGGACGCTGGATGTAACTCCACTCACCACCCTCTCTGGGTCCAGCCCTCCAGCCACTCTACCCAGCAAACAGTGCTCCTGTCCTAGCCACAGGCTGACAGCTTCCCCAGCAGAGTGCTGTGGGAGACAGCATCCAAGGCTTTGCTGATGAGACCACATCATGTCCTTCACCCATCAGGTTGGTCACCTGGGCACTGAGGGAGATCGGGTCGGTCAAGCTCCATAAAACCCCTCTGCCTGTCATATAGTTATTTCCATAGCTGATGGCTACAGTGAATGATGGCACTGAAGGCACAGCTGTAGTCTGGACTTCACATGATCACAGCACAGACCACAGTGTAATGAAAACAGTTTGCTGTCTGGCACATCGCTCCTTAGTCTCTTTCTCATGGTCTCTTAAAGGTGCAAGCGATTAAACAGCTGGAAAATACCCCAGGATTGCAGAGAATACCTCCGAGCAGATCCTCTTCTGTCACTGCAGAAAGCACAGCCACACTGATCCCCCCAGTGGCCCACAGCCATGCGGGGGGCTGTGACATTGCCACGAGTTCCCTGCAGGATCACAAGCCACAGGTGGCCCCCCAACCTTCCAAATCCCCGCTTTGGCCCCATGGAGCCAAAACTACACTCAGAGCAGACAGAGCTTCCAGCAGCATGGGAGATGTTTGGTTTGTTCCACCATGGCTCACCACTTTGCTTGTGCTTGTCGAATTGCTCTTCAGAAATGAGGCACCCTGCATTTGCAGACAGCTGGGGGAGTTCTGCAGCAGGCTGCTGCTCACGGGTGATGCTTTGAGCCAGGAGGGCTTTTTGCTGGTTAGCAGAAGTAAAGTCAAAGCAGAAAGCAGGTGGCCAGCAGAGGCATCAAAAAGCCATTGCACCTTCCTGGATCTTGCTGAGTAAGAAATATTTTCTTGTTGATTTACCAATATTGACTTTAAGTAATAAGTACTGGTAACTGCAAACACTCACTCCCTCCTTGGTCACCACTTCTTACTGAGAAAATGTTAGCTCTGATCCCTCCATTTAAACAAATACACCTCTAATAATGCTGGGGCTGCCAAGGACTGCAGTTCTGTGCTCTGCGGGCCCAGCACGGACTACTGGCTGTACTAGCTCTCCCGTGTCACCAGGAAACCACATAATCATAGGAGACTGAAGTGGGGAGAAACCACTGGAGATGATGAGTCCGATGCTGTGAGCTCGGCTAACTCTGGCCAACCTGCTCGGCTAGTCTCCAAGACTGGAGACTGTCCCAGCTCTACAGTCCCAGCCGCAGGGCTGCAGCAGCCTCATGGGAGGGCTTCTCCTTACGCTCAGCAAGGAAATTTCCCCGTCACATCTTGTCCCATCGCGGCACAGCTCCGAGAAGCCCCCGACCCCCCCTCCGTCAGCCCCTTCGGGCTGCAGTCCCGCTTCGCCTCCCGTTCTCCGCGGGCTGTGGCGCCCCCTAGCGGCGGCGCGGCGCTCGGAGGAGCGGTCCGGCACCGGGTCGGCACGGACGCTGCAGCTGCCGCCAGCACAGCAGTTTCTTCCCATGCCGCGGTCCGGGGCGGTGCTCACACCGAGCCACGCGATGGACGTCTGGAAGAGATGGCGAGTTCTCTTGGGACCACCCAGCCCGCTTTTGTGTTTCTCGGCTAAGCTGCATCCGCTGCAGAGCATCCTCTGGTACTGGGAGCAAACGGCCAGGGCTTGGAGCTCTTTCAGTTACTTTTTGATGTTAGGATAATCATCTCAATCGACCTCGTGTGCTACACTTGCTAAAATGCAATTCTGCTCGAGTGCTTAATTCAATTCCTCCTGCACCACTGACTCAAATTTGCACTGACTGAGGTCCACTTAGAGAAAGAAACGAGAGGTAGAACCCAGAGCCACAGCAGGAACAAACTCTCAATGCACATCCCAACAGTCAGTCCTCACTCAATCCACTGGGGCCTCTTGGTTGTGGTGGCAGAGGGGTCCTGGTCTTAGATGCAGCTGGGCTGCAGCACCCATCCGTGGTCAGATAACTTCTACATTTCTACATTTGTTTTTATTTATACTGATAATGAGTAGCAGCTGTGCAGCTTGAGCTATCTGTGACTCCAGGGTAGCAGCAAGGGTCTGAGCTGGTCATGGAAACAGGGAAGGGGAAGGGGAAGGGGAAAGGGAAAGGGAAGGGGGAAAAGGGGAAAGAGGAAAAAGGGGAAAGGGGGAAAAGGGAAATGGAAAGGGAAATGGGAAAGGGAAAAAGGAACAGGGAAAAGGGAAAAGAAAATGGAACAGGGAAGGGAAAGGAAAAGACAAAACCAATAAAGAAACAAAAACAAATTGGGAAGCACTGAAACTCTCATTATATAGGCAGATCATGTTAAG